CTCCTCCTCCTCCTCCTCCTCCTCGTCCTCCTCGTCACCCTCCTCCTCCTCCTGCTCCTGCTCCTCCTCCTCCTCCTCCTCCTCCTCCTCGTCCTCCTCCTCCTCCTCGTTGACGGACGGCAAGATCACCCAACATCCTATCCAGACATCGGACCGTCTCGGAAGGTGCGCCAGATCGGGGCGCCCCCGCACGGCGTCGGAGGCGGACCGGGCCGGCCGCGCCAGGCTGCACACAGCGTCGCCATGCAAGCTCCGGGCCGCATCGGGTCGTCGGGGCGTCAGCATTAGGTCTCGGGGGGGGGGCCTGCTGGGGGGTCCGCTGGGTCTGCTCCCGGGGCCTGCTGAGGCCAGCTGGGACCACCGAAGGGGAGCTGTCTGCGCACAAGAGCGCGTTCCTTCATGCTCGGCGATGACGGGGGGGGGCGGGGGGGGGTATGACGTAACGCCCCCCCCCCCCCACCGTGTGGCTCCGGCCAAGGCTTCGGGTTGAACCTTAAGTCGGGCCTGTCCCCTACAGGGGGATCTTCGACGAAAAATAAAATTATCCTGGCGACGGACCCAACCATATGCAATTGTGAGTACCGCAATTGTGAATATCTTCTTCGGTGGCGCTCCCTATGAGGCCACGCAACGTGTGAGGGGTGTGCCGAAATGGGTGTGCGGGACGCATGCGGGCACACCCACTGTGACCTTCGGTGGAGCTCCCTATGGGGCCACGAAACGTGTGAGGGGTGTGCCGAAATGGGTGTGCGGGACGCATGCGGGCACACCCGCTGGGACCTTCGGTGGAGCCCCCTACGGGGCCACGAAACGTGCGAGGGGTGTGCCGAAATGGGTGTGCGGGACGCACGCGGGCACACCCACTGGAGCCTTCGGTGGAGCTCGCTATGGGACCACGAAGCGTTTGAGAGGTCACGAAACGCGTGAGGGGTGTGCCGAAATGGGTGTGCGGGACGCATGCGGGCACACCCACTGGGGCCTTCGGCGGAGCTCCCTATGGGGCCACGAAACGTGTGAAGGGTATGCCGAATTGGGTGTGCGGGACGCATGCGGGCGGCAGCACTGGGACCTTCGGTGGAGCCCCCATACGGGGCCACGAAACGTGCGAGGGGTGTGCCGAAATGGGTGTGCGGGACGCATGCGGGCACACCCACTGGGGCCTTCGGTGGAGCTCCCTATGGGACCACAAAACGTGCGAGGGGTCACGAAACGCGTGAGGGGTGTGCCGAAATGAGTGTGCGGGACGCATGCGGGCACACCACTGGGGCCTTCGGCGGAGCTCCCCTTGGGGCCACGAAACGTGTGAAGGGTTTGCCGAAATGGGTGTGCGGGACGCATGCGGGCGGCAGCACTGGGACCTTGGGTGGAGCCCCTCTACGGGGCCACGAAACGTGCGAGGGTGCGCGAAATGGGCGTGGCGGGACGCATGCGGGCGGCAGCATGGGCCTCGATGGTGCTCCCTATTGGGGCCACGAAACGTTTGAGGGGTGTGCCGAATTGGGTGTGCGGGACGCATGCGGGCGGCAGCACTGGGGCCTTCGGCGGATGCAAACTTTGGGGCACGAACGTGCGCGGGGTGTGCCGCTTGGGCGTGCGTGAAGCATTTGCGGGCGGCAGAACTGGGGCCTTCGGCGGAGCTCCCTATGGGGCCACGAAACGTGTGAGGGGTGTGCCGCATTGGGTGTGCGTGACGCATGCGGGCGGCAGCACTGGGGCCTTCGGCGGAGCTCCCTATGGGGTCACGAAACGTGCGAGGGGTGTGCCGAATTGGGTGTGCGGGGCGCATGCGGGCGGCAGCACTGGGGCCTTCGGCGGAGCTCCCTATGGGCCTATGGGGCCACGAAACGTGCGAGGGGTGTGCCGAAATGGGTGTGCGGGACGCATGCGGGCGGCAGCACTGGGGCCTCCCTATGGGGCCACGAAACATGTGAGGGGTGTGCCGAATTGGGTGTGCGTGACGCATGCGGGCGGCAGCACTGGGGCCTTCGGCGGAGCTCCCTGTGGGGCCACGACACGTGTGAGGGGTGTGCCGAACTTGGTGTGCGTGACGCATGCGGGCGGCAGCACTGGGGCCTTCGGCGGAGCTCCCTATGGGGCCACGAAGCGTGTGGATTTTCGACGATAACTAAAGAAATACCCCAAAAATAATCAAACAATTGTCCAACAATAGTCTGGGGATTATTTTTTGCATATTTTGGGGCCTTTTGGGGGTCATTCTTGGGGTATGTTTTGTTGTTGTTCGTCGAAAATCCCCCTGGAGGGGGACGGGCCCGACATAAAGTCGGGGCGTTGACCTAAGGAACCCCAAATAAGGACCGAGGCCCCGTTTTTCCATGAGTTGAATTTCGATTTCTCATCGGAAACACAAGGAACACCCGAGGCAAGCTGTGAAACACTTAGGAACACGGAGCCCCTCCCCAACGACAAGGGTTCCTTCTTCCGCGCCCCGACTGTAAGTTGAACCTGAGGCCTCAGAGGGGTGCAAATCATGACCGGCGGCATGTGCGCGGCCCAGCGGGGGGGCCAGGGACGTAATGAAATAAGAAGAGGCGCCATAAAATCTGGGGAAAAATCATGGCCCCCGCCATGATACCCACCTCCCCCTTGTAAATCGTGAGCTCCCTCTCTCCTCTCCTCCCTCTCCTCCTACCTCATCCTCCTCCTCTCCTCCTCCTCCCCTCCCCTCCCCCTCCCACCTCCCCCTCCCCCTCCCGCTCCCCCTCCCCCTCCCCCTCCTCCTCCTCCTCCTACTCCTCCTCCTCCTCTCTCCTCCTCCTCCTCTCCTCCTCTCCTCCTCCTCCTCTCCTCCTCCTCTCCTCTCCTCCTTCCTCCTCTCCTCCTCCTCCTCCTCCTCCTCTCTTACTCCTTCCTCTCCTCCTCTCTCCTCCTCTCCTCTCTACCTCCTCCTCCTCCTCCTCCCCCCCCTCTTTTCCGCCCCCGATCAGTTGAACCCGAGGCCTCCGAGGGCGGAGGACGACGGCAGCCGGTCACCGCGAGAGCCGCGCGCGCCCCCGGGCAGAGGGGCCAGCAGAGCAGGGGCGCCGCCCTCGCGCGGCCGCCGCGGGCCGCCTCAGGACTCCCTCGAGCCGCGGCGCGACCGTCCGACCCTGAGCAGGTTCTTCTTGCTCTGGCTGACTTGGTACCTGTGGGAGTAGGGGAACAAAGGATGTGGGGGAGGAGGAGGAGGAGGAGGAGGAGGAGGCGGAGGAGATGGAGGCAGGGAGGAGGAGGAGGAGGAGGAAGGAGGAGGAGGCGGAAGGAGGCGGAGCGGAGGAGGAGGTGGGAGGAGGAGGTGGAGAGGAGGAGGGGAAGGAGGAGGCGGAGGCGGAGGAGGCGGAGGAGGAGGAGGAGGAGGAGGGGGAGGGGGAGGTGGAGGCGGAGGCGGAGGGGGAGGGGGAGGGGGCGTTGACCTAAGGAACCCCAAATAAGGAGCGAGGCCCTGTGGGGCTCTGACTTGGTACCTGTGGGAGCAGGGGAACAAAAAGTGGCATCAATTACCAGCCTGGAACAGATCCCTATCCCTATGCTGGGCACCTCCTCATCACGATGCCAATCTTAGGGATTCCCCTATCTTTGAGGGCGAATCCCTCAGATTGTCATCGCCTTTTGGCGTGTCATTCGTAGGCATAGGGATACGTTCGAGGCTGGTAAAGAAACATAACAACTCGGAGGTCCGCGCGGACTTCTCGCATCGACGCTGGGCCCCCCTCCCGGGCTCGAAAAGCGCGCCGGGGGCGGCGCCGGAGGCGCCGCCGGGGGGCCCCAGCGCCGATCCGAGAAATCCGCGCGGACCTCCGAGGTTCCTTCTAAGGAAGGGAGGAAGGGAGGAAGGGAGGAAGGGAGGAAGGGAGGAAGGGAGGAAGGGGAGGAAGGGAGGAAGGGGAGCAAGGGAGGGAGGAAGGGAGAAATTATGTTTATGTCACTTCTCGTTCCCCTAAGGAGGCAACTGCTGGGACGTCTGTAAGAACGGTGAGGGTCTATTGCGCCCGATCGAGGGGCGATGCAGCCAGATCTGGCCAGGCGGGAGTTCAAGCGCAATGAAGACAGATTAGCAGGGATTCAGCAGAACTAATGGGACTGTGCCGGATTAGGCCCGCATTTGGCCAAGGATAACGGAAAGAGCGAGGAACGAGCGATGACGTTGTGTGTTGGGCGGAGCCCCTCAAGGGGGGTTCCAGGGGGGTGCGTAGCGGGCACGATCGGGTGGTAATGGCCGTTTTGGGGGTTTTCCCTCGGGTTTTTGTATGTTCTTCGGGTTCTCCCCCAAGACGGCCCAAGAACGCTCCGAGAGAGCCCAAGACCGCCCCAAGACGTCCCAAGAGGCCCCCAAGAGGCCCCAAGAGGCGCCCGAGGGGCGCCCCAAGAGGGCCCCAAGATGCCAAAATCATCGATGTGCCATGGGAAAACGTACATTTTTAGCATATGCGGCTTTTCGCCTTTCGCGGCGTTGACGACGGCCCAAGAGGCCCCCAAGACCGCCCCAAGACGGCCCAAGAGGCTCCCAAGAGGCTCCCAAAACGGCCCAAGACTGGGTAGTCGAAGCCAATCTGGCGCCAATCTGGCAGGCCCAATCTGGCAAACCGGGGCAATCTGGCGAGGGAGCCAACGCGACTCCAGTCTGGCGAATAACCCAAATCATCCAGTTTGGCCGGGCCAGATTGGCCCGTGGGGCCCAATCCAATCTGACAGTCCGGCCTTCGACTACCCAGCAAGAGGGCCCCCAGACGGCCCAAGAGGCGCCCCAGACGGCCCAAGAGGGCCCCAAGACGGCCCCAAGAGGGGGACCACGAACCGGAGAGTCGAGCTTTCGCCCCCCACAGCCCCCCGAGAAGCTCCAAGAGGCCCCCAAGAGGCGTCCCACGAGGCCAACAGGATGCCAGAATCATGGATTTTCTATTGGAAAGCGTCAATTTGTTGCATACACGTCGTTTCGGCTCTCACGGCGTTGACGACGGTCCAAGAGGCCCCCAAGACCGCCCCAAGACGGCCCAAGAGGCTCCCAAGAGGCCCCCAAAACGGCCCAAGAGGGCGCCAAGACGGCCCAAGAGGCGCCCCAGACGGCCCAAGAGGGCCCCAAGACGGCCCCAAGAGGGGGACCACGAACCCGAAAGTCTAGCCTTTCGCCTAAAGACGCTTCCAGGAGGCCCCCACAAATCTCCAAGAAGCCCCAAGAGGCCCCCAAGAGGCCCCCAAGAGGCCCCCCAAGAGGGCCCGGAAAGGGCCCCAATAGGACTCCCACGAAGGCCCAGAGACGCCAAGAGCGATCGGTTATGCAAAAAGCTCTTCACACCAAGGCTCCCAAGAGCGAATGGTGACGTAAACAAGCTGATAAGACCAAGGCTCCCAGCAGAGAGCGGTGACGTAACAAGTTCCTGACACCAAGGCCCAGCCAAGGCTCAGGAACGGGCGGCAACGCAACAATCTCTGAACACCAAGGCTCCCAAGAGCGAGGGGTGACGTAACAAGCTCTCAACGCCAAGGCTCCGGGTACGAACGGTGGTGTGAGTAATTCTGGTTCCTGTTGCTGCAGCGCTCTTTCCGTTTCTGTGCCGGGCCAGGTATACAAGCGCCGATGCTGAATTCACCCTCCCAGGACTTGCATCCGAAGGACCTGGTGCCCTGCTTGTTTGACAGGTGATCGTCGAGGCCGGTGCATGCCTCCATCACCATGTTGGATGTCTCCTGGAAGTCGTTGAACAGCAAGTTTCGATAGTTTGGGTCCTTGCTTGCGCAATTGAACGACTTGATGAACACACTTGCGTAAGAAACGCAGAACCTCAGCGCCGGGGGGTGAATCCTAGTCAGCATCTGGAACTCCGACGGCAAGATGGTGATCAGCTCGCAGCCCAATGTAGAGGCTGTCAAAGGCCTAGAAAGCAACGATACCTTGTCCCACCCGCGTTCCTACCTTCCCCTTCGTCAAGAGGCTGACGAGGAGGAGAGGGAGGAGGGCAAGCAGGAGGGCGCCTTGGACCAGAGAGTCTCCTCGCAGGCCCACTCGCCGACTTTGACCTGCAAGGTCTCTATGTCTGTGTGGTCGTCCTTGCTCCTCCTCCTCCTCCCTCCTCCTCCTCCTCCTCCTCCCTCCTCCCTCCTCCTCCTCCTCCTCCGCCTCCGCCTCCGCCTCCTCCTCCTCCTCCTCCTCCTCCTCCTCCTTCCTCCTCCTCCTCCTCCTCCTCCTCCTCTCCTCCTCCTCCTCCTCCTCCTCCTCCTCCCCTCCCCTCCCCTCCCCTCCCCCTCCCCTCCCCTCCCTCCTCCTCCTCTCCTCCTCCTCCTCCTCCTCCTCCTCTCCTCCTCTACTCCTCCTCCGCCTCTCCTCTCCTCCTCCTCCTCCTCCTCCTCCTCTTCCTCCTCCTCCTCCTCCTGCTCCTCCTCCTCCTCCTCCTCTCCTCCCTCCTCCTCCTCCTCCTCCTCCCCTCCCCATCCTCTTTCTTCTCCTCCTCCCCTCCTCCTCCTCATCCTCTCCTCCTCACTCATCGTTCCTCCTCCTCCCTCCTCCTCCTTATCATACTCTGTGTCCTCCTGCGCCTCCTTCTCCCCCAGCCCCCCCTGGAAGACCAACAGACTGTACAGTAGTAGCTCGACCACAAGAAACCTCCCAAAAGAAACCCAACCCTGAGACCCTGGGACGTCCACTGATTCTTGGCGTGGGAGCGTCACGCCTTCCATAGTAGAACCATCGAAGCCCAAGCAGCCCAAGGCACCCTGGAGGCAAGCAAGGCGTTCCTTGGCATTGGCTTCCACTGTACCGGACCTCGGAATCCAGATGTGTTGCGTCGGCGCTGGACTCCACTCGCGAGGCGCCCGAAGCGCGCCAGGGTACAGGGCAGTTTTTTAATACATGGGAACTTTAAACATATAGACTTATGAATAAATGTGTGCATGAACTCATCGTTGATTCTAGTACTGAATCCCTGCATGTTTAATACATGGTCCGCACGCGGAGCATGTATTAAAAACGGCACTGTAGGGGGATCCAGCGCCGCCCCAAGAAATCTTCGAGATCGAGGACCTTCGGAAGCTGATGCGGGTGCCTGTTCCTCTTCGACTCCTGATCATCCGCATCCTCATCCTCGCTCGTCCTTGTAGAAGACAGACCCGACCCTCACGAAGAGCATCCGATTCACGGGCTGGCCGCCCCAGAACATCTGCTCTTGCGGGAGCATCGACACCTCTTGGCCACCACGCAAGGGGCGACCCTGGGCAGGAGCGCACCGTGGTGCGCGGCTTGCCCGCCCGCGTGCGTGAAGGGGCCCGAGGACACACACAAATAAATACACACAAATAAAAATGTGTCCCATATTTCCCCATATCTTTGGGGTTTTTGTCTTCCCCCCCACTTCCCATAGTTCTGCATATTTCCCCGGGAGTCGACGGTTCATTGTGTCTGTGTGCTTCTTTCCCTCCTGAGTGCGACGCGACAGTGGCGGCATGCGGGCTCGGGCGTGGCCCCCCGCGCCCCCCGAGGGCCGCGCGCCCGAGGGCCACTCCGGCGAAGGGCCACCACCGAGGATCTGAGCACGTGCACTTCGAGGACGGACAGAAGCCCTCCTCCTCCTCCTCCTCCTCCTCCTCCTCCTCCTCCTCCTCCGCCTCCTCCTCCTCCTCCTCCTCCCCCTCCCCCTCCCCCTCTCCTCCTCCTCCTCCTCCCCCTCCCCTCCCCCTCCCTCCTCCTCCTCCTCCCTCCTCCCTCCTCCTCCTCCTCCTCCTCCTCCTCGTGCACTTCGAGGACGGAAGGTCGCGCCACATCGCCGATGCACCGGCGATGCATCCGCGGCGTTGGCGACGCGTCGGCGCCGTCAGCGTGGAGAACATCGGGCGCCACGTGGAGCAACACCGCCGCTGCACTGGCGAGGCGGCGCGATGCTCCAGCCGCATCTGGTCCGGCCCGACTTGTGGTCCGGCCCGACTTGGGTTAGCTCGGGCACGTCCCCCCACAGGTCGATCTTCGACGAAAAATTGAAGATACTCGAAAAATCGGCGGTGGACAAACCTCCCTTTCGTAGACCTCCCCTTAGTGAAAGCGGCCTGGGACCGAAACCGACGGACCTGGACCCGCAAAAATGACGGCCGCGACGCCCCCTCGCGAACCGAAAACGGCCAATTCCTGAATCGTCGTGTCAGGGTAGGAGGTCTGTCCACCCCCGACTTTAGCAGAACGTGGTTTGGTGAACACGACCTCGGCCCTAAACCTGGCGGGCGCAAGCCTGGAAAATGCCGGCCGCGGCGCCCTCGCGGCAACCGAAGACGGACAATTTACCGATCGACGTCTCAGGGTTGGGTCTCCGTCCACCCCGGAGTGCTAGTTGAGCAGGGACCGACCGTCCCGGCCTTCCTATAGTCATACCACGAAATGTTCTTAGAACCCAGAAATGTTCTCATAACAAAAACAAAGATCTTAGAAAATAAACCCGATGCGATAAAACAAGAGAGACTCCGTCAGAAATGTTCCAAGAACATTCCGTGGAAACCACAGAAAAAGGTTCTTAGAACATTGTTTGGTAGGGCTATAGGCGTGCCAGGACGCTTCGCCACCGCTTGATACCAGTGCTTGGGCGTCCGAGTTCTCCGGGGTAACTCGGGTCCGGGGTAACTCGGGTTTGGATTCCCGAAAAAGGAACCCGAGTTAGCCCTGACCCGAGTTACCCCTGATGATTCGGGGCTCTGGACGCCCGAGTTATCCGGGGTAACTCGGGTCCGGGGTAACTCGGGTTCGGACTCCCGAAAAAGGAACCCGAGTTAACCCTGACCCGAGTTACCCCTCATGATTCGGGCCTCTGATCTGTGTCTTTCTTTCCCGCCTCACAAATAAAAATATTCCCCATGTTTTGGGGGATTTTGTCTCCCCCCCCCACTTCCCATACTTTTGCACATTTCCCTGGGAGTCGACGATGAATTGTGTCTGTGTGTTTCTTTCCCTCCACTCGCTCCACTCGTGCGTCGAAGCTGCGTCGAACCTGAGTCGAACCTGAGTCGAACATGAGTCGAACCTGAGTCGAATCCGAGTCGAACCTGAGTCGAACCTGAGTCGAACTTGAGTCGAACCTGAGTCGAATAGATCCATTATAGGATCGAATCTGTGTGTCTCTTTCCCTCCTGAGTGCGACGCGACCGTGGCGGCCTGCGGGCTCGGGCGCGGCCCCCCCGCGCCCCTCGCGGGGGCCGCGCGCCCGAGGGCCACTCTGGCGCAGGGCCACCGCCGAGGATCCTCCGCGCACTTCGAGGACGGACAGAAGCCCTCCTCCTCCTCCTCCTCCTCCTCCTCCTCCTCCTCCTCCTCCTCCTCCTCGCCTCCTCCTCCTCCTCCTGCCTCCCTCCTCTTCCTTCCCTCCTCCTCCTCCTCGTCTCCTCCTCTTCCTCCTCCCCCTCCTCCTGCCTCCTCCTCCTCCTCCTCCTCCTCCTCCTCCTCCTCCTCCTCCTCCTCCTCCGTCCTCCTCTCCCTCACCCAGGCCCTCCGGACTTTTCTGCGGGCAAGTGGGGCAACGGGCCTGTGCAGGGTGCGTGCGGTCGGCAGGAGCCGAGAAGGGCGCACACACACGCTCACGCACACACGCACACACGCACACACGCACACACGCACACACGCACACACGCACACACGCACACACGCACACACGCACACACGCACACACGCACACACGCACACACGCACACACGCACACACGCACACACGCACACACGCACTCACGCACACACACACGCACACACGCACACACGCACACACGCACACACGCACACACGCACACACGCACACACGCACACACGCACACACGCACACACGCACACGCGCACACACGCACACACGCACACACGCACACGCACACGCACACACGCACACACACGCACACACGCACACACGCACACACGCACACACGCACACACGCACACGCACACACGCACACACGCACGCAGACTTACACACTTACACATTTACACACTTACACACTTACACGCTTACACACTTACACACTTACACACACACACACACACACACACACACACACACTTACACACATACACATACACCGGGCAAATACAAGTCCTGATGGTGACCAGCACCCTATGTCATAACACAAGTGGGGTGGTCTGATGTTTCGAGGGGTCTGATTTGAGCCGACTCGAGAGGCTCCGCGGGGTCTGGGCGGGGGCCCGCCCTTTCCGTGGCTGGTCTGGGGGGGAGTCTGCCACTCGGGGCCGTGACCCCCTCCCTTAACTGTCACGACATCTGGGCTCGCCGGACCTCCTCCGTGGCGAGGCAGCACAGCTGCCGCATGCCCACGGGGCACACCACCGCATAGAAGTCGAAGAACGGGTGGGCCCGGAGGAACGGCACGAGCGCCTCGCAGCGCAGGTCCTCGATGATGAACCGTGGCCCGCCAGCCCCCTGAGCCCTGCCCTCATGTCGGGCCTGTCCCCCATACCAGGGAATTTTCGACGAAAAATAAAAAGTACCCTAGAAATAACGAAAACATAGTCCAAAACTGATCCAGGGACAATTTGTTTAGTATTTGTTTGAGCCTCTTTGGGGCATTTTTAGGGTATTTGTTTATGTTTTTGGGGTATTCTTGGGGTATGCTTGGGGTATTTTGGGGGGCATTTTTGGGGTATGTTTTGTTTTTCGTCGAAAATCTTAATTAAGCACGGCTAGGATCGGGATAAATCGCTCCAGAGCGTTCCGGAGCGCTCTCAGAGCGTTCCGGAACGCTCTGGAGCAGCCGCGGCGCCCAATACATCCTCCAAACCCGCCGATTCTCAGAGATTTCGAATTATCCCGGTCCGATTGTGTCCCGATCTTCGCGTCGTTTGAAAATCCCCCTGTAGGGGGACGCGCCCGACAGAGCCCTTTTTGGGGCATTTTTGGGGTATTTCTTTTTATGTTTTGGGGCATTTTTGGTGTATGTTTGGGGTATTTGGGGGGCGTCTTTTTTGGGGGTATGTTGGGAGCATGTTGGGGGTATTTTGGGGTATGTTGGGGTATTTTTGGGGGTATTTTTGAGTATTTTTTGTTTTTCGTTTGAAAATTCCCCTGTAGGGGGGCGCGCCCGACAGAGCCCTGCCCTGCGGGGGAGTGCCGCGGCGTCTCCGGGGCGCGCGCCCGCAGCTCGGGCAGCGGGCTTCGCAAGGGGGGGGCGATCCATGGGGGGCCCCTCTCCTCCTCCTCCTCCTCCCCCTCCTCCGCCTCCTCCTCCTCCCCCTCCTCCTCCTCCTCCCTCCTCCTCCTCCTCCGCCTCCTCCTCCTCATCCTCCTCCGCCTCCTCCATCCTCCTCCTCCTCCGCCTCCTCCTCCTCCTCCTGCTCCTCCTCCGCCTCCTCCTCATCTCCTCCTCCTCCTCCTCCGCCTCCTCCGCCTCCGCCTCCTCCTCCTCCTCCTCCTCCTCCTCCTCCTCCTCATCCTCCTCCTCCTCCTCCGCGGGAACGAACCCTGACCTTCCAGGAGGGCTACAGTCGGGGCGTTGACCTAAGGAGCCCTAAACAAGGAACGAGGCCCCTTTTTTCCATGAGTCAAACTTCGACTTCCGATCGAAGGCATGAGGGGAACCTGAGGCAAGCTGTGAAACAATTCAGGAACACGGAGCCCCTCTCCAACGAAAAGGATTCCTTCTTCGGGACCCCGACTGTAAAAAATAGCACCCGACTTAAAAACCTATCCCAAAGCTTTTCTACGTCTTGGTTTTAGGCTGTTTCGCTAAGTTATTTAGGTTTTTAGGCCTCCAGTGCTATAAAGTAGCTCTCTGGAAGGTCAGGGAAAGGGGGGGTAGCAAAGGGCAGGGTCGAGTTTCAGCTCACGCAGCTGCTTTTCCCAGCGCCTTCCGGCGCCGGGAGGCGCCCGCGTATCGAGGAATGGGACCGGCGGCGGGGCCGAGACCAGCTGCATGCAGCAGATTTCGTGCCCCCCCCTTTCCCTATCCCCCTCTTTCCTTCGGCCCGGGAGTGAGGACGAGGAGGAGGCCTGCAGCCTTCACAGAAGGCGGCGGGTCTCCTCAGAGGCCCTCTGGCCTCCTCAGAGGCTTTCGGTGCCGTCGGGGAGGGCGTGGATCACTTCTCAGGAGGCTGGGTGACATCCGAGCCTTCTGAGAAGGCCCGCCCCATCTCGCTTCCCTTCCTCGCTCGACGCCGACAAGGGCCACGAGGGGGGGGGGCGGCCGCGGCGGCTGTCGGGAGTGGCCAAGAGGGGGGGGGTCCAAGAGGCGGGTGTGCAAATCATGACCGGCGGCATGTGCGCGGCCCAGCGGGGGGGCCAGGGACGTAATGAAATAAGAAGAGGCGCCATAAAATCTGGGGAAATATCATGGCCCCCGCCATGATATCCACTCCCCCCCTGGTCATCACCCCCCTCTTTGCCGCCCCCGAGGCTGGGAGGGTGGGCAGCGTCGCGACGAAGAGGCCCGGGGACGAAGGCAGCGGTCTGCCTGGGCCCGGACGACGGAGCTCGGCCGGGACAGATCTGGGGATCTGCGCACATGTCCACTGCCTGGGGCGCCGACGTTCCAGGGGCTCCTACAGTCGGGGCGTTGACCGAAGGAACCCTAAATATGGAACGAGGCCCCTGTTTCCC